GAATATATATATATATATATATATATATATATATATGTATGTATTCTTTTCCCTTTTTTAGCATAGACCGATAGGGAAATAATATATTGTCGAGGAAAAAAAATGTCAAAAAGGGGGAAATAATAGATGATGACAGTGGACCAATATAATCATGTCCAAAATGTTGACAGACGAAAGGTTAGTACCCAAAAAAAAAAAGAATGAAATATGCGAATAAATATGGTGCGTAATTAGATATCGAACTAAAATCTGATTTATCATGTGTTTTAAATAGACCAATTTTTAGATATTATATATTTTTAACGACTAAACACACATTTATAGTTTCTTTAGATTTTTTAAAAAACAAGTGCATTATTTAGATATTTAATACATATTTATATTTGGATGAAATTTCATACTACTTGGATACCAAATAACGAAATCATGTTTATTTTGATATTCTCTCGTAAATAGTTTAAAATGATTGACAAAGTTACCAAGAAACATACGGTGGAAATTAATACAAATTCATGCCATGCGTAAACCATGCATGTTCAATTTGAAGCATTGAAAAACATGGAAGAGATTACGTAGGATTATATTTGTAATTCAAATTAATTACGGAATTACAAAGTGGAATATTTATTCGGAAGAAAAATGACAAAAATATGCATAAAGCCTAAAAATCCTCAAAATTACCCATTATGAATGCTATTTTAAAAATGTCCTAAAGAAACTTGCCCAAATTTTAATCTATTTTTTCCCAATTGTTTTTGAAATTAACAATTATTAGATATAAATTTTAGTAAAAACGAAACTAAAACAAATTTATTGTGTTAGATTCAATTTACACCATATAAATTATTTAAAATATATATAATATAATTTCAATTTAATTAGTTTATAAAGATAAATTATAATAATTATATTTTCATTTTAGTCCAAGATAATTTTAATTTTTAATATATTTCTCATTAATTTTTATTAAATAAAAATTAAAATAAGTTTTCATCTTTACAAAAAACTAAAAAAATTATTTTTTAAATTTATTTATCTTTTATTTAATTTAAAATATATTTAAAATCATTCAACAAATATATTAAAAATATAATTATTGTTTTCAGAAATTTATTCAAACTTGTAGACAATAAAACAATAAATTTAAACTATATATTTTTAGAAAATCAATAGATTTTTTGGCATTTTTTTCTTTCAATCACATGGACAATGACATTTACTTTTGGAAAAGTGCGTGACTTGCCCAAACATGACAAAGGACCGCAAACCAATGACAAATCGAGGGGTGGTTTAATATGTCATAAGAATTAAATACAAAGATGTGAACAAATATATGTAAATTTTTATATTACAAAAAAAAAGAAATCAGTACGTGTACACGTGGCATTTCACGACAAATCCTTGTAATTAATGGGCATCGTATGTTGTCTTGACGAAAGGGAAATCAATGTCAATATCACAAAAGCAATTTGATTTTTAAAAATGTATAGATAATTACAAGTCCCATTATAAAGTTTGCATGCAGTCGTCTCTGTTCTATTGTCATGCAAGGGTGACATCTTATCTCTTGGCCATTATACGTTACTACGTCCTCAATAGATAATATTTATTTGCAGGAAATTAAAATTAATAGACCTAAATTAAAATTTTTAGTAAAATATAATCAATATCATTTTTTGTAATTTCATGATGGAATGATAAAATTTGCGAATGCCTTGATTCAATTTATCAATCATATCTCATTAAAAACTAGTCATATTTTTTACTTCAAAAAAATCTTTATGTTTAACTTATTATGAATTAAATTTTAATATCTCACGGACATTTTAGAGATGGGCAATGATTTCGCGATGTACACATACATACTCGATACAACAATACACAGTGATAGTGAACATTTCGGATTTTGGTTCTTTCCCGATATAGTTATTTTCCGGTTCAAATTTATTTAGAGTGTAAAACGAGATGGTCTGGCTCGGCCTAACCTAGTCCGTGTTGACTCCAACCCAGCTTGACTCATTTTTTGGCGAATAAAAAGTTATTTGGTTCAACCGACTCACCTTATATCCGGGCCAAACAAATGGATTCATGAACCAACACAATTTAAATACTAAAATATATTATAAAAATATTAAAAATTAAACAAAACAAGTCGAACACAATTTAAATATAGAAAATATTAAAAATATTTAAAAATAAAAAAATATTTTTTTACTAGTTCACAGGCCAATTCATAAACTCGTCACGAGTTCGGCTCACGACGAATTGGTTCGTTCGTCTCATTTTGATATCCCTAAATTTATTCATTGATCCAAATTTTTATTTGGACTCACATCTTGGATTCGGATTTCAACAATAAAAATATTTATTTTCTAAAAAATGTTCATGTTCTAGATAAAATTTTGCATTTCATTTTTCGCCTTTTTAATCATTTTCGTGTTTGATTTAAAATTTGATTCATTCTGATTAAGAGAATTTATATACAAACAACTTTTGTATCAATTATACACGTTCGACTTACAAGATGACAACAAAAAAACACATAAGTAGTCGCATGTACAATAGTTTCATTTACTGTTCTTGAAAATTGACAACGTTACGCATGATTAAATTGAAAATAAGCCCATAAATTCTACAGCGGAAATATTTAAAGGCCCTTCGGTGAGACCGAAGCTTATCATTTTCCTTTTTTTTTTAAAAAAAGCAAAGGCAAAAGGAAGATGAAAATTAGTAAAGCTGCTCTTTCTTTTCATGCCACCATCTCCACCTGTTAAAAAAAAAACAAGAACACAGAAGTTATTCGAATCCCTAATGAAAATTCAAAAATTATTTTGAATATGTCTGATTAAATTTTTATATTTTTAGATATTTTTTATTTGTCTGATAGAAATTCAGTTTAAATGTTCTTAGAAAACTGATTTTTCAGTTAATGCTTTTTAATTATCCTGATTAAAACATTTTTATTTATAACAAAGATCCATCGTCACTATTTTCTTTTCACTGGGAAATGTAAAAACAAAGTAAATTCTACCAAACAGCACATAATTATATTTAAATTCTACAATCTAAATAAGACCAAAAGTAATTAATGTTTTTTTTCTGAAGAAAAATTAAAAATAACGTTGGCCGCAGCTATTATCAAAAGAATTATAGGACAAAACGCTATTTTATATTTAAAACAAAAAGGGTTTATAAAAAAGTAAATAAATAAAAGTAGGATTCCAAAATCTCTAATTTGTCGCGTGAAGAATCGTAATAAAGCGAGAAAGAAGGAACGGCTACCGAAGAAAACACAGAAATTTTTTTAAAGGGAAAGTAGTTGAAAAAAGGGGCATAATGCTAATATTTGATTTTCTTTAAAACCAACATTATGTTCCATCGTATTTATGCAAGAGTGGTATTTCTAAAGATTTTTAATTGTTTATGTTTTGTCTCATAATTTCGAAATATTTCCAAAACACATATATAGGATACATATTTTATTTATGTTTCAAATTCTCCGAAAATTAGAATTATCCTAATATAATATATATGTGTATATATATATAAAGAAGAGGAAATTAAGAAAAGGGTTACCAGTAATAGTCCCAACGGGGACGGACTTTGAACATGCGGTTG